AAAAGTTTGTCGAGTTTACATTTAATTACATTAAGAACATTTGGAGTTATTTATTTATATGATTATAAATCTCGGATGAGTGCGAGTTTTTTTTTAATTCTGTAGAAACTAAACCAAAAGGAATCTTAATCCAAAACATACTCATTAAGATATTAAGATAATATCTAAAACACTTTTTAACAAACTCCAAATTATGTACAAAAAGTTTCATACTCAACATACTTTTTACACTCTTCTTTAACCAGAATGGAGAAGATATAATTAATATGCAGCATTGGTGATATTACAGGCATGAAATGAGACAATAATTCCAGACTGGATTACAGAAAGGATGGGTTATAAATGAAATGAACCTACAATAATTGAAATGGACTGATGGTTCCCAAAAGTGGGTTACATTCTCAAAATGAAAAATAATTGAAATTAGTGTATTTACAGTAACAATAGAATGACAATCATACACAGAAATATATGTTATAAAAGTTTACTATAAATCGCAGAGATATCATCCCGCTCAAAATATTTTATGAAATAGTGAAACGATTCCAAATTACATAATAGTATCTACAGTAAGTAAGTTGGTAGCAATGAAATTGACATTATTTGCGTAATATAAATACATCAACCAAATAAAATAGAGAAAAATAGAATTCGTAAAGCAAGTTTATAACTTGCCGCCTGTTGTAATCAATATATTTTAGATTTCTGCCATCACTGTAGCAATATGTGATTAATACGGTATGATAATGGTTAAACGATATCAAAAAAGAATTTTCAGTTTTCGAAATATGTTTCCTGACATGATATTTTATAGCTATGGTAACGACATTCATGAATCTGACTTTGTCCTACCAGCCATACTATTTTTTTTCATTTTTTGTTACAATATGCACTTTATATATATATACATAGAAGAGGTGGAGAAGTTACCATCCTCTTAAATTTCTATTTAAAAAAAAATCATAATTTTGCCAATCGGCGCAAACTTTTGACGTATTTCGTTGACTAAAACGTGTTTTTATTTACAATATACAGTCAATGACATGCAAGAACCTGACACGTTTTCCGCAAATTGTTGACGGGTGTATTTAAAATTTTGCCATTATACATCAACGTATACTCAATTTCTTATAGCATGCATGTTTACTTAAACATTGGCAAACAAAAATGACATTATTTGACATTCACGAAAAACGGAATATGGCAAAGTGTCTCTTTAAATCTCATCAAATGAAACAAAATGATAAACAAGATAAAAGGAAGTGACAGTGTGAATATATTTGTATGAACAGGTTAAAGATCAGTAAAATATTTTGCACACAGAATATTGCCGCTTTACTGACTTGGTAATAACAGTATGGCGCGGTCGTGCATAAGACTTAACATTTTACAAACATAGTGTAATTGTTAGAGTCCAGTGGAAATTTAATTATAAAATGTTATGTGATACATGGAATATTTATATTATTATTTTGAGCACGACTCTATAGTGTAGGAGAACTAGATTTGAACAGAAAGAAGGCTTTTAACTTTTCTATGTATGAACACCGTTGTCGATATTCTATAAGGAAAACTATTTTGAAAGAACTTTTATTGTGTCTATAGTACATATTTGCCAAAATGCGCACAAGATTTATGTTTGCCCTTATTTGTGGCTGTTTACAAAAATTCTGTAGCCTTAATTGCAGCCATCTTTAGCATCAGACGACTTTTTCGAAATCACAGCCGGTTTGTCATGACAATTTTCTATAACCTTTGGAACAACTTCCCTCCAAAACATTACATCTTCTGCATGAAGGTATTGGTCAATATAGTCTTCTTCGTCTATGTTTAGAAAATGTTCCTTTTCTATTGTATATTTTGGCCATCTATTATTGCCACCTTCTCCATTAGGGTTGCTGGAAAGTAAAACATAGTTCTGGCTAATTTTTTATGTCATTACATGATATAATAATCAACACCTTGTAACATCTATAAACAGCTGAACATCTCATGTTATTTTTTAACTGCAGCTGAATGATACTACAATGAAAAGCAATCACTTTTGAACTGACCATCACACACATGCTTAAACGGCATTGTTTGCTTTTTATATAACAGCTATGCTATTAATTATGATTGAATTATAATCCAATACTTTCTACTGTCAACTTACGTGGAATTGTCTATGAACATTTATTACATTGATGTGTAAGGCATTGATCCAGAAAATACTTCATTCGGTCATTTTTGCAAAGCATCGGGCGTCGTCGTAAAAAGGGACATGTAGTAAACGATTGCATTTCTTAATGCTAAGCAAATGAGAGGCACTTACTATTTAATATGAAAATTTCTCATAATTTCCTTTGACAATTAATATTGCAATTATGTTTCTACTGAAACAATGAGAAATGTTCTCAAAAGTGTGAAATTAGCAAATAAAATTTTATGATTGTGTACCTTTTGCCTTCATATAATTAAACAAGTAAAGAAATTAGAATGTGCTTCTGTAATATATTTCCAAATTTGAGGAGAGACTATTCTTTTGTATAAGCAAAGATAAAACGAACAAACAAATGTTTATTACCCATTCTTGGCAAGATTTGACCAAAATGCAATAACTCTTTCAGACAAGCTCCATTCCCACTGCGGAGGAGCATATCCTTCCCCGAACCCATCATAACCTAAATGATAGCCAAATACGGGTCCAATCTCATCACCATGGTTACCAGAATGTACCCAGCTAGGAGTAGGTACTAAATGCCGTTCGACAGCCGCTGTAAATCTGTACAGATAACTTCCAGCATTTGAACCATTCACATGCACTTTACTAAATTCAATAGCGGGAACGTTAAAATATATATCTCCCATAAGTTTTACAAATTTTTCTCGGATATTTTTAGATTCGTAAGGATTTTTCCAATCTCTGTATTTTGAACTGATGAGTGTTTGCAGCACGTCCGAATCCAAGCCGCCATAAGAGGCAGTTACCAGTGGCATTATTGACGGGATGATCGCGAAATCCATCATTTCTTGTGTTAAATGTAAGTCTTCATAGCTGTCCTAATTACCATCCGCCATATGAAGCCACATACCACCTTCATCCCCATTTAAACCATTCATAAAAACCAAAGATCTAAAAAATGTCACTTCACTCGGAACACCATTTCTTGATTGTTCCATTAGCTCTGCAGGAGAACTTTTCACTATTACTCCATCTATTGTAGGAGTGAATATGACATTTAGAAATAAGCGAGGATCTTTCAAAGCTTCTTTGAAGGCTGCAACAATAGCCGCACTATCCCTGTTCTGAATACATTCAAATACAAGGTCCACATTGTCCACATTGCAGTTCATCAATTCTGCCAGATATTTTGCCTGCTGTACATTTTCTTTGAAATTCTCGAGCATATTTAATGTACTTGGAGAGCCACTTTCTGCGATGACATTCTGAAAAAAAACCTTTGTTTGGTGGGTAAAGAGCATGAAACCCAACACTTATAGCCCCTGCCGATTCCCCAAATATGGTCACCCTTTCATTATCCCCTCCAAAAGATCCAATATTTTCATTCACCCATTTGAATGCCATCTGTTGGTCCCATAATCCCATCTAAAAAGCCCCATATCCAAAGCCTGTAGTTTATTGTTACAACAATAACATTTCCGACTGATGCTAAACGGTCCCCGATGTATCGATTTCCGGTTCCAAACGAAAAACCACCACCATGCAAATATACCATAACAGCATGTCCAGTTGTTTTGTCTGGTTTCTGTACCGGAACGAAAATATTCAGAAAAAGACAGTCTTCCTCTAGCGAATCTTCTGCTCTTTTCATTCCAAAAATATCGACTTGAGCGCAAGATGATCCGAATTTCATCGCTGGAAACGGATTTGGTGACAACGTTCCAACTGGTTCTGGTCTTTTGAATCTAAGTTTATCTACAGGAGGCTTTGCAAACGGTATCCCAAGAAACTTCTTAACTTTGAACTCTCTGCCTTTAAACGCAACATCACTATATGCTCCATGTATATCTCCAAGTTTTGTGGAAACCGTAGGAAAGTCTGATAAAATACCTTCTTTTAAAAAAAGGCAGAAAACAGCAGTTAAACAAACTTTCGTCGTTTTCATTTTAAAGTTGTGATATTATGTGTGTAGTCTGCATTGATAAAATGGATAAAGTTATCTGTCCTTAACCTAGATCTCTTAACCCTGAACTGTACGTGTTTATTTTTGTAACTGACTACTTATCAATTTGCAATACATATTATAACAACATATTATATAACATGTAAGTATCTGCAAACAAATCATTGGTTTAAATCATATAGACTAATCCTACAATTACATATAAACAGACTATAAACTAGCTATTTCAAAAGTGTATCCTTGCGTCTAAGAAGAATCTTTAAACAGCCGTTTCCTTTCTATCAGCTGACACTTAACGAGTGTCCTGTTTGAAAACTGTCTTTTTTGTCGGAGGTCGTTTTGAGTTATAGAGTTAATACAATAAGATAGGAGATTACTTTAAATTTTGAGCCTTGATTTTCTATCGACGATATTGGATTAGCTGTTATATTGAGACTTTGTTTTAGAGAACATCATTTTGCAAGAACGGGAACTGGATGTGCCAGAATATATCAAAAGCTATCTCCTTATCAACCTGAAACAACTCCTAATGACCTCTGTTGACAAAATGCTCTTTGAACCATTCTGACAAGCATTAATAAATCATGATTTAGATCTGCCACGTAGATGGTGCTGACCATTGCTTCATAGCGCTCCCTGTAGAATCCATCTCTCATTCTAATCTGCTTTTTGGTACATGAATATTGTAACTAAATTCTAATTAGAACATTTGTCCAATATCTAAACAAAGTTTAACATGCAACCAAACAAATGAAATAGTGGGTTATTTCCCTTCTACTGGTAAATATTTGTAAACGAGAAAGTTACGTATGTATATTCTTATCTTTTCTTTTCGCAGTGGGTTTGGAACTAAACAAATATGTGAAAACAATATTCTTTAAATATTTATTGCGTTTTTATAGCTTACTGCAAGTATTTTCAATGCAGTCAACAGTTTTACACAGAGATTACGGATGATGCTGGTGCGCACACGCACGTCCCTCGCTACATTAACAAAAAAGTCTCGAGCTTATAGCAATTTTTTATGATATTCAGTAAATAGATCTACCATTATTGTAATTATTTATGTAGTTTTTATGGTTTCAACGATCGAAACAATAACAATGTCAATAATGATATCATATATGTAAACATTTTAAGACAATGACTAGAAACATTTTACAGTGTAAAGTTTTGATTGAAATCACATTTATTCACATTCATTCATCATTTTGATAGTCTAATATACGTGTACCATGTATTCACTCGGGTTGTTTTTTTGTTTGGTGGTGTTTTTTTTCGAGTAATTCAAGGGCACGGACATGAAGTTCGTAGAACAGACATGAAGTGTCTTCATAGAACGACTTGAACTACGCGGTCGTTAGTGTGTCTTGTTACAGACACCGATTTGACACGTGTTTCCAGGTACGCTGTTCAAGATCGAGCAGAGATTTTAAGATTTAAAACACACGTTGATACAACGAAGAAAACAAATTGCTTCATCGGTGCTTAGATTTAAATTCCTTTACTATTTTAGCTAATGATTCCATTGATTCGCCGATTCCGTGCCCATTTGTTGCACATGCGTCATGGATAACCCAGCGTCGTGACACCATTTGATGTAAACCAAGATATTTTGCAATACGGCTTGAATCAGCGGCACCTGAAGAAAACCCAAACAAATTTTACCACATGCAATTATCTTATATCATGACAATATAAACAAATCTGACATAATGTATACGTAAAGTAAAATGCTCACAGAGTCTACTTCAGTCTGATTGCTTCAATTAATTTGTATACTTGTAACATTTAATGACCCTTAATAATGAAATGTACAAATACATGAATTTATATATAGTTAGATACCGGTTTGCCAATTTTTGCGATTTATTCATGTGTATGTAAGTATTTTTTAATTTTGGTTTGGTAATCAAGGCTTAAAGGGTTCCTAGAATGTCATATGTAAGCCTCCAGTTTAATTTAGTAGAAAGTAGAGGGTATAAATGGGAGGTCCCACGAAAACAATGAAAAGAACTAAATTACAATGTGCATGAAAAATGCAAACTCGGTTTGATCGAGTGTGCTCATGAGGGATAGTGGGAAAATGTTACATCCCTGATACCCCTTAGCACCTGCTTAAGCGGCATTCAAACTTTATCACTAAAAGTGCTGGAATCAATGACGCTTTACAGTTGCCTCACAGCACTAAATTTATGACCCCTGGGTGTGAAGTGACACATTGTTACTAGTGTATCATACAGTGATTTGTCAAATAGTATACCTGGGAGATCTTGTTTGTTAGCAACGACCACAAGAGGGACGTTTCTCATTTCCGGTGTATCCAGCACGCGCATTAATTCTTCTTTCGCTTCCTGGATCCGTTCTAAGTCGGCACTGTCCACTACAAATATCACACCTGCAAGTGAAAATGAGATCAATCAAAGATTTGTCCATAAGTGAAAAGCAAACGTTTTGTAAATGCATACTTCCTTGAAGGCAATAAAAGAAACTAAAATAGATCATTCATTGCCGTGTTCATTTTAACTGTGATGTAAGAAAGAATTACGAAAATCAATTTTTAAATTGGAAGTTTTTTTAGGAAATGCAATCTGATTTTTTCTTACCGTCAGTTCCTCTAAGATACATTCTCCATAGGGGCCTCATGCGGTCCTGTCCACCCATATCCCATACAGTAAGAGTGAGGCCCTTCATGGGTGATAGTGTTTCTACATTGAATCCTACAGTCGGTATCGTTGTTAAGGTTTCGTTCATTTTAAACCTATACAATATAGTGGTTTTACCTGCAAAAGTATGTATAACATGCATGATTAAAAGAAACCATAGGTAAATGAACTTGAAGATATTATCATTGTGCCATGAACACAGATTAACATGTATCTAAAATAGGTGGCCTTTCATTTTGGGTACATTCACCTTATTTGCGTTAACCGAAAAATAATTGAAAAGATTTAGGGTCATTCATTCATTCATTCATTCATTCATTCATTCATTCGTTTGTAAAGGATACTTTTGCGGGCATGTCTACAAATAATCAATGACTCACTAACACTGCACCTAGTACTTACGTTTTTAAAATTATTCAGGAAAAAAAGCGGTCACAGAAGAAGACAGGATAATAAATGATGATGATAATAATGGTTACAAAATAATAATATAATTAAAGAACAAAACGGAGCGGTCAGTTTACGTTGTTGGTGGCGGTTATGGTGATGATGATGATGATGAGGACCCATGACAACAACGATGATGATGATGATGATAATAATAACGTTGAATAATAACAATTTTGAGGATGATAAAGATAATGATAAAGATGGTGATGATAAAGATGATGGTGATAGAGATTATGACGATAAAGATGGTGATGAAAAAGATGATGATAAAGGTGATGATGATAAAGATGGTGATGATAATAATGATGGTGATACGACGATAACATAAACAATGTTGTTGTTGCTGTTGTTGTTGTTGTTGTTGTTGTTGTTGATGATGATGATGATGGTGATGATGATGATGATGATGATGATGATGACTGCTTTACAAAACGAGGAAGACGGCAATCAAGCATGATAATTACTTGGTGGTTTTAAGGTGTTTGAAAATCAGACCTATTTCCCCATATTGATCTTATTTCTTTCCTCTCGACAGCCTATATCAAACTGTTATTGCATTCAACCACTTAGCTCTAATTGTTCTATATGTGTAATAAATCATTCAAATTAATCATTTACATCCGCTGTAAGAACTATTAAGAGTTTCCGGAATGTTTCATTTTCTGCAAGTGCCAAGTCTAGCTGTTTTATTTGCTCAAAACTTCTGCTAAAATTTTATATCATGAAATCGTTTGATGAAAAGATTATACAAAATTGCAGTACATATGTATTATAATAGAACATTAAACTTTATGTACATGTTGTTATAACCTTATTGCGCAATAACATATCAAGACAATAACAAAAACTGTAGAAATAAAGAATAGGATAATGATAAATGTATACATAATCATAAATCTGTAAATAACCATACAGTTTAATCAAATTAGCTAAAAATGTATATATATATATATTAATAGTGTACTTTAGTTTTATTAAAATTTAAACAATCCTTTTAACACAGTTGTGCCATGCGTGAGACGGACTATTTATTTTAAAATACCACACCGGTAGAAGGAGTGGCCGATACAATTTTTACCATACATGTAGATCTATATAATTTATACATGTACTGTAATTGAAATAATGAGATAGTAATACGCTGCAAACACTTGAACAGAACCTTTTCGGGTACACTTCTCAAAATTTATTGTTTGGTGAGTAATTCTGGAAAGAATTCGTTAAAGTTCAATACACTCCTAATTATTAGCTCATTTACGCGTGTAGATTAAAGCAGCACGCCTCTAGATTCATGCCAATTTTCATAAAAATTTTGAAAAAGTGCTTAAAAGAAAAATATTCTGAAGTGAACAAAAAAGTAATTTACACATACAATCAATTACCAAAAAGAGGTCAAAATATAAAAAAGGCCCTTTCTCCGTTATTCACGCAGAATAAATATGGTGAAAAATACTGCAAAAACAGTCAACAATCGCACATACCATGTATATCATTACTTAAATCTTGAATATTTTACTTTTCTTAAAACCTTAGAACACTTTTCTCAAGTTTGATTTTCTTGAAATATTTTTGTTCATCTAAAGATATGCAGCTTTAAAGACTAAAAACATGTACAATAAAACGTAATAAAGTACTATCGACGCAATAAAACAAGCTGATAAATTAAACAAATAATCTTATCCACTTATCCATACTTATTGTCGATTGGGTATAGAGAAATTGCAAAATAGATAGATAATGTAACCGATGTAATCAAAATTGATGTAAAAAATGTGTATGATTTTCATCTGACTAAACCTTGTTGTTTGTTTGTTTTGGGTTTTACGTCACATCGACACAGTATAGGTCATATCGCGACGTTCCAGCTTTACTGTTGGAGGAAGACCTCAGGTGCCCTTCCGTGCATTATTTCAGGCACGAACGGGCACCTGAGTAGAACCACCGACGTTCCGTAAGCTAGCTGGATAGCTTCCTCACATGAAAGAATCCAAGTCCCTGTTCGTAATCAGAATATTGGATATATGTACATGTATTAGAATAAAAAGAATATTTAGTCATGTATACATTAGTTATGTTCGTTTAAACAAATACGTATGAAAATACAAAATAAACTCAAGAAGTTATACGCATCATATAAACAGGAACTACTATAACTTTGTAGACATTTTGTAGATCAGGCGAATCGCCATGTCCGGATCGTCTAACCAAACAATATTACAAATGTATTATATTTATAGTTTTAATAGTTCGATATGAACATCCCTCAATCTGAAAATGGACAATTCAAAACTCGAAACAGGGCAAGTCCATTACAAAATTCGTAGGGTAAAATGTTAAGGAATGACAGAGAATATTTACCTGCGCCATCTAGACCTATCATAGCGATCCTAGCCGGACAGTTCTTCCAGGATGAGAGGGCTTTAGACACTTTTGACGTTAGAGATCCCATTCTGCACGGTATTCACGTGTACTGTGCACGATTTCCACAATATTTTTATATAAGTCCTTACTTTATAACCAGACTTTATAAAGTCACTCTTTATTTAGCTGCTATCCGACATAATCTAAAAAATAAACAAAAACAGAAATCTTGACATTTTTAAATGTATTAAAATATATATTATTTCCGATAATCCTTTTTGTTCACATGTACGTACATGTACATCACAAAACATACGTTTCTCTCCGTGAAAGCCACAGCAGGAAGTGTTTTTATTGACAGATATAGGAAGAAATATTAATTCTGAAAGAAAATTTACAAATAATGGCGTAATCGCATTTATCGCATTTTTATTCACACATACCAGTATGTAAAAAGTGTATCAAGATGATGTATTAGATCCTGAAGTTTCATAAAGTAAAGCGCATTGATACTGAGAGAATGTATTTATAAACATTTAGCTAATTTGTATAAACCAGACAGATAACCTACCTTACCTCGTGAATCATAGCCGTTGCTAGTTTCTTCTATATTTTAGGTGTTTTCCTATCCCAAATAATATATAATTATATTTAAAAAAAACACACGTAAACACTGACCACTTTTATCGTTTGAATGACGCTAACCGTTTTGTAACATCTACTTCCTTTTGTTAAATTTAAGCTATTCAACAACATCAATGTCCGAACACGAAGTTTAAAACAAATTTCATGAATAAATTTTTCGTTTGCGTGTATAAACTTTAAAGTAAAGCGAATCAGAAAATCAATTTCAAGTTTTAAGTTTTATTATCCACCGTGTATATAATCTATTTTACTCTGCGTATACTTCACACGTCATTGCATTTCGGTAATGAACGGGTTATGGTGTTTTAAGTTTCTTTATATAAAACCATGACCGGGGTCACTGAACGCATTGTTTATTTTGTTGCCAATATGAAATCATATACGATTTTAATACATAAATAAATTAGTAATGGTATTTAATCCTGGGTGTATATATGGTTATTCAATACAATGATTTCGAACTATTGGTCCCATATTTACTTTTCGAAATCGTAAACTATTATGATTATTTATGGTGTCAAAAATAATTTCCTTCTTTTAGAGATCGTTACACCCTATCAAGAAAATAGAAAAAAGATAGTGTAATTTAAAGTGGGCCTAAAAGCTCTATAACTTGATTGAAATTATACAATACCAATAAACTTTACAATGTGGCCGGGATTTTCGTATTTCAGCTAATTTAACCCACATTGTAATTAAATCAAATGACGGCAAAATACTTTACGATTCATTCACGTTCATTTTCACCACGCAAAGTAAGAACAAAAATAAAATCATGTCGTAATAATTTCAATTCCAATCCTTTCTGACGCATTCCGTAATATTAGAAAGTAAAAAATAACGAAACACTCTTTTATTATTTTATTTAATAAGAGTTTGAAATATTTAAGAATAATAAAATTATCATGTCGCCCGGCACCCTTTCCCTCCTCCACATACAACTTTAAAGAAGCTTTTCTGTAGTCTGAGGCCTAAAATTATATAATTTGAAATTCTTACACAGAACAACTGGGACACTTAGTGGAGTGGTCTACAAAAAAGTAAAGTATCTCAAATAGCGATGAAATGGAAATGTATCAATCAACTGATTTAACAATGATGAATACTGTATATATAAAAAAATTCATTCCAGTCCCCTTATGTCGAAACACTTCAGTGGAGCCCCTTTAAGAGATTCGGCGCTGCTCACATTGTACATATGGGACATTCGGTCTCATGCAGCAAACCCCAGCCGTAAGCAATCTGCATGAAATGTTCGACTTCATTTTAAAGGCTGGGTACATAATAATTATTAACTGTATGTCTTTGATGAAACATTGTAGAATTTAGTATAAATTGAAAGTAGGTCTAATAAAGTTTTACATTATAAAGAGCTCAGTTGTCATTTAACTGTTTTACAAAAATGACGCGGCTCTACCTTTAAGCACATGTGTGTTCAAGCTGTAATATGTTTCCATTCTTTCAATCGTATCTTTTTACACAATAAACTGTGTCTTGTATGTATGTAGTCTATACTTAATGAGGGTCCATCCGCCAGGGAAGGCACAAAAAGCAGCTTTCGCTGTCGAGTGCGAACCCCGGACATATCACCACATCAGAGACTCCTCAAGAAGTTCCATAAATATGGTAACCGAGGCAGGACTCTCCAATGGATCTCTTCCTTACCCAGGGAGTGCTCGATTATTTGCAGACGACTGCATCCTTTATCGCCAGATCAAGTCCATCCATGACCAGCAGCTGCTTCAAGTTGACCTGGATTGTCTAGCCAGGTGGGAACACTTGTGGGGCATGGACTCGCCCTCAGAAATGCAGCGTTCTGCGAGTAACCAGGGCGAAATCTCCTCTCCGGACCAACTATATCCTGAAATGTATAACTCTGGTTGAAGAACAGATATCAAAATACTTAGGTGTGGACTTACAATCAGACCTTGGTTGGAAACAACACATTGACAATATCACCATGCAAAAACTAACAAAATGCTAGGCTTCCTAAAACGTAACTTGAGAAGCACAAGCTGTGGAATTAAAACCAACGCCTACACATCTCTTGCTCGATCTAACTTATAATACTGCTGCACCACAAATCAAAGCACAGAAGGCGCTGAATTTGTTTGGGTCTCAGAATGTCAGAAAGGTAAAGTTTGTGAGATTATAAACCAATTTGTTTTTATAGTGCCACCAATGCTTTCCAGTGTTTTAATTGTAGTAAATTGGCTATAAGACTAATTGCAACACTGACATTCAATTCAATGTTTATTTGACTTAAACAATTTGAAAAAAATGAGTTGCCTTAACTGGGATTTGAACTCCAGACCTCTCGCTTCCTAAGCGAGCGCGCAAACATCACGGTGAAGTTATATGTTAACGGCCTGAAGAAAACCATATTATTCTAAATTAGGGTTTGTAACCCTTATTATTTCGACGCTAACTGTTGTTTAACACAGATGTAAATAATCATGGAGCTTACTATAAGCATGTATATCTATGAAAGAATAAAACAATATTAGAAATCTTCGATCATTCGGGAACTATTTTGCTTGAAAATTAATGCGCCTGTCATTTGACCATCTTTACGCAGTGATCTCCCCTGAATTTTTCGGCGTTTGTGTACATATAAAGGGAAGTAACCGCTTCAAAAAAGCGGACTACTTTCGGCATTTGCAATTAACAGCATCAGGGTCTGAAATTTCGCTACCATTATTTGTTTGGTCTGACGACCCAAACAAATAAAAACCTTATATATAAAGAAGAAATGGTACAGCGAAGAGCAGCAAGCTTCACTACAACCATAACACCAGCAGCGTCTCAGATAAAGAAATGTTAAGTTTGACAGTTAAACGTATACATGTAAATGTAGACCAGTCATGCCTTTAAAGGTTTCATCTTGAAGCATAAAGTGGTGATAATTTATCTCCATGCAATTTCCATGGAGTATTAGCCAAAGATATGAATTTTGAGCCAAATGTAAGTCACTGTACGGCAGTCAATGAGAACCTAAATGTACAGTAACCTGAGAATAATGAAAGGAGGTAGCCCATGAAAGGGTTGTTGGTGCCAAGTAAAGGGCCTGTCTTACAAGCCGTCTATCGGTGGGTGATTGTGCTAGGAGCTCACGCACCCTAGCACACCATCCTCGTCGTCTTTGCCTACGTCGTAGGGCCACTCCCCTTAGTCAGGACACCGGCAGCTGGTCCGCAGTTCAAGTTCTGGACTTTGTTTATTTTTTGCCATCCCAAAATCTTTAAATCTTCTGCCGTTGCCTTGTGCCTTCTCAGCGACGTGCACGCTCCGAGGGGAAGTGAGAAGAAACTGTGTTAACCATTTATACCAATTCATATCACGTATTTCTTACAATTATATAAACCCAATCAAATAATTCAAAGTCTTTACAGTAGTAGAAAAATAATTTTAAGATTCAGAACGTTATTTCGATATAGCGGGGGTCTTTCGAACAGAAATTTGAAATACCCAAAATATCACAAACATTTTCGGTATCATTTCAGACATGACAAAGGCGGAACAAAAAGTGACATGTTACGGATTTATACACAAATAACCGTATATTAAATATTTACATGGAGTTCTCGTTAAATTACTTGATTCCCGTTCTCTTAAACAGGAATTTATTTACTCATTTGGCAAATAAAGAATGATTATAATTTTAATGACTCATGATTCAGTAAAAGGCGCCGTGAAAAAAAAAAACTTTATACAAATATATTATAGCATAATGATATCTTTCAAACAAGTGTCTTTCAAATGGAATGACCCTGTTCTAATCAAATAATTCATATTTCAACTAAACTGGTTGGGATACGTATTTATTTTACAATAGTTACCTCCCCTGATATCAAATTTGCCATTTGTGATGTAATTAGATTTATCCTTATTTTCAAAATATTTCTTTCCTCATAGAACCGGAGGGAAAATGGCAAATAAATTGAAATGCAGGAAAGATCTATTAAAGGTAACACTTATTTTTCATATATTTAATCAAATTAATTGTTAAAACTGCCTTGTTAAACCCTTGGTATTAAACAGTGTTAAACACTGTTAAACAGTAAAAAAAACTGGGGCGTTAATATAGGTTTAGTTACATGTATCTCTAAAAGTGAGCAGAAGACTTAGTTTAATATCTCTTAATTAACTAGATTCTATTGGAACACGCATGTCATCATGCTTTTTTGTTTGAAGAAACGAGTATGCGCAGTGGTAAAAACGACGGAATCATCAATGATCCGAATGGTAATTGTCTTCCATGAAACAACCTTTTAACTTAATTCTACAACGAACATTTCAGAACATACAAAGGTCAACAAGAATAATTCAGATGCATTAGATAGTTAACGTTCGTCATTATCTTAATTAAAGAACATAACTTTATTTGTTGTATTTTTATTTATTTTTTTTGTATAAGGTAAAACAATATATTTCGGAAGGTCAAAAGTTAAAATTTCGCAAAATTTACATTTTGGACTTATTTGCAAGGTTAAATATTTGCAAATATCTACCTTTAATTTAGAAAATACTGTAAATTTATATGGTAAAGCATGATTTAGAATACTTTTATTTTTACAATAATCTTCAATTTTGCAAAAAATAGAGAAAATAAATACCCCATGAAAATTTCTGGTTTTACAGTAGAGGGCTAGGTGGTGATAATTTTCTCACCGCTTATTGACCAATATGCAACTATTACCTTTTGCCTACTTGAAATGTATAAACCTGATGATTTTAAATGTTTGATATTATTTTTTCCATTTTTAGATTGTCGAAGATATCAACTCAAGTTTTGCATTGACAGATATGCATTTTGAACTGGCATCAGATGAACGAGCAGAAGAAATGGTTGATTTCTTAAGGGAACATTTCTTTGCAGATGAAACTTTGTCCAAATCAGTTGGTTTGGTAATGAACGAGTGTAGAAGGAAACTTCTACTGGAAAGATATAAAGACAACTTGTCATTGTTACTAGTATCAGATGTCACAAAACAAATTATCGGAGTTAGGACCATTAAAATTATAGAAGCTGGAGGCAACACCTTAAATTTGGACAGTATTGAAGATGAAAGAATTCGCAAAGTGCTAACATTCTTACGTCACAAGCAGTCAGAAATGGATGTCTATAAATATTTTGGAGTTGACATAGCTGTTAATTTTATCAACTTGGGCATTCACAGGGATTTTAGGAACAGAGGTTTAGGATCGATATTGATGAAAGCTGCCATGTTATATGTGAAGGATATTGGCCTTGACCCTGTGTGTATCACAGGAGAGGGTACTTCTAATTATTCCCAAAAAATCTATGAGAAATTTGGCTTTGAAATGATGTACTGTGTGAATTATGAAGACTATAAGGTAGATGGAGAGGTTGTGTTCAAAAATACAGGAGACAATAAATCCTGCAAGTTTTATGCCAAAAAGCTTTGAATTACACAACTACATTGTATGAGGTTAGAAGAATTTGCAAAACATTGTTTTGGAAGCAAAACTGAATATGAAAAATTGTTAGATCTTGATAAGATTCTGTTCTTTGTGTCTAAAAGTGAACCATTTTCAACATACAACTACAAATAATGAAAAGTGACAAACATTACAGTTAGAAAAACTTCCTGCGTGGTATTTCAAAATAAGCTTCAAAATTTAGATTCCTGTTAACAAAGATTTGTCACTATTTTGCCATGAGAAATGTTTATAAAACTGACTGTATAAATGCTTTTCCTGGGCTATATACTTACTTCAGGCAAAGTAGGAGACAGAGAGGCTTATAAGTTATTAGTTTTCAGTATTTTTAGTTCCTAGTCACTAGTCTTATTATATATGGACCTGAATCCTACATGTACATGCATCTTAACTGCCACCTTTTGATATATGTTGATTTTTTAAATGTATCCGTGACTAATAATTCATTGCACAGTAGTGTTACTCAGACAATGTTATAAAAGAATCTGAAACTGGTTGCTGTTACAGATATGAATATAAGTCCATCTGGTTAGCTCAATAGGGAGAGTATCAGAGCTGTGAGCAAAGTGTGTTAAATTGGGCATAATAAACATTAAAACAAACAAAGATGGGAATATCTGAGAATAGTAACAAGGCTTTGCCCAGTTATTGTTAACATGTTTTCATGTCTGTACCAATGTCTAGCATTTGATTCATTTTCACTTGGCAATTAAAGTTCAAAAAGAAATGAAGAGAACATGATTTTTTTAGCTCTTTTCTAACATAGGGTGTAAATTGAAAATCATATTTTTATGATATTTTTAGCCTGATTTGAGTGAAAAACATTGTAACGCTTTTCAATTTTAGGTCATTTTTCACAATTTAAATAAATAATTATTCTGGAAAAACAGAGTGAGCAAATGATCTGAGATTTTGCACACAAGTTATTCGTTTAAACTAATATCATATTGAACATTAATCTCGAAAAAATATTTCCAGTCCCATCATGTCAAAAAACTTCAGTGAAGTCCCTTTGAGGATATTGTATGATTGTAATAATACTGGATGAACTTGGATATAGCTTAAAGAAGTATATGATTCATTAAGGTCAACTTGACAACTTGAGATATGAATATGTAAATTAAGACGTATATTCAACTACATGTAATATGCCATTTTGTGAAAACAAAGTGCAGTCTGACCAAGAACAGAACTTGTGACCTTTAGAATACTGTTCTGCTGCTGTACCCACAGAGTTGTCCAGCCAAATACAAATGTTCTTTCCTTTTATACATGTATATGACAGCTGTATATACCTCATATATAGATTTATTAGAAAAATTGTATGTACTATTATACTTTCTCATCATCCTTGAATTTGTTATTGGATCAGTATAATTGTTGTAATACAAAAATGTATACAGTTATAAACTCCTATCATAATTAAAGATAGTTTTGCTATTTGCCCTTACTTTTCTAAATCTGTATGATGAACTTGTCTTTGCTTTAAATTTGGAAATTGTAATATGAGGAATTTAGATATCAAATGCTTTGACATAGCCGCCTTTAGTATCTGTTAGGACTATATGGAAGTACAGACCAGCAAAAAAGGTTTTATCACATGTGTTTTTTAATGCCCCCTATTGTTGTAGTGGCATATAGATTTGGCCTAATCCATCCATATCTTGCTGTCATTGCTATCTGGTTGTAGACTGACACTCTGAAGAAAATAGCGGCATTTGCATCCATGACACATTTGTAGTTTACTAAGAAAGTGTCTCTCAGGAAATTGTGTTTAATTATTAAACAATTTCATCATGCATATTCTTCTATGTTGGCAATTAATATTTAAATATTAAGATTAAAATGATACCAAAGTTTGAAATCACCCCAATTTTTTGTTGCCAAAGAAAGTGTGAGATACATGTATTTAGGTCAGTTTCATATTTTTAGTGTTATGAAATGTCTGAAAAAAATAAACATATGTGGTAGATTTGTATTTTCCTTCTACAGGTATCAGGATAAAAGTATTAGATATCAATAAATACATATGTACAATAAATCAATAGATATTTAGATACTGCACTATATTTCTCATCCTAAATTCTTTCATATTTGAAACTTTTTGGACACCTACACCTCTGTCTTTGATTCTATCAATATTCCTGTTGGTGTAAAGATGTGAATTTACCATATACACAATATATACATGTAGTTCTATATTGTTAAATTTTGTTGTTGATTATTTGATTTTTAATGTCGGTCTTTTATTTATAATCACTTTTGTTATTTTATTAGTATTAGAAAATAAGTTCACTGTATTTATTAGACAAAATGTTTAAAGATAATAAATTAATTTATATTACATTTAGTTTTCATTTATTATGGGAGTTGTGTATGTGTTACTTTGTCTGTGGAATCCAAATGTTAGCTTTAGCACTCTTGTCTGTTAAATATCAAATGTTTGTAACAAACAAAATTGTTCAAACCAGATGATATAAGCTTTAGCTTTTGTCTGTAGAAGACAAAATGTAAGCTGATGTCAGTTAACCCTTTCCCCCATGAGCATATTGTGAAAAATGGCCATTCACTCTTACAAGTTCAAACTGCTATGAAACTATGAAAAATGCTTCAATACTAATCAAACTTGGCACAAATGTAGACTGGACCATTGCCTTTGTAACGACATGCTCAGTCTTAAATTTCCTGTTACCATGGCAACGAGGGGACATCTCAAAATTGCAAAAAAATCACTATTTTGCCTCGATTTTTTCCATCAAAACTTATTTCAAAGTGCTGCAATTTCTCAAGGGATTGAGATAGAGTCAAAGGCTTTTCAGCGTTGGTTACACAATACCTTATGATCGACCTGGGGTCATTTTAAGCCTCTCACAAGTCCAAAATTTTCTTGGCGATGAGGGGGACTCCGCCCCTCCCCCCTTCAACCCCCACCCCCCCCCCCCCCCCCAAACAGAAGGGGGCACATTCCTCTTCTGGCAACCCCCTGATGTATCTTTTGGATGTTGGGCGGCGCCGAAAAAGTGCTCACTTTTTTTTAGCAACATTTCTCAAACGAAAACATGTGTTTGGGGCCCAAATAGGACATTTTTTCACTATTTCAGGCCTAAAAAAAGGGGGGGGGGGAGTCGAAAGTGCGTTTGTTTCGCGTATATATGAGGTAAAGGGTTAATGCACTTGGGTGTGGAAGACCAAATGTTGGCCTAAATAGCCAAAGTATAAAAGCTTTAGGGTTTTCGTGTGGAAGACCAAATTTTGGCCTAAATAAACTAGGTGATGAAAGCTTTAGTGCTAAACTGTGTAAGACCAAATCAACTAGATGTTGTCGGCTTAATCAGTTGTCTGCGGAAGACTAATTGTTAGATTAAATAAACCAGATGATGTAATCTGAGGAACACCAAATGATAGCTGATGAAAACTTACGCACTCTTCTGTGGAAGACCAAATGTTGGCCTAAATAAACCAGATGTCAGCTTTAGAAATATGATACAAGTATATACATTTCGAAACAAATATGTCAGATATCAATAAATTAGCTGAATAAGTATTGCCAAATGATTTAAGGGCTAAATGATATGGTCACAGTTACGATCAAAGGGTAAAAATTTTGGCCTTTAATAGTCGAACATTTTTTTAGTTTATGGTCCATTTAAACTTTGGTACAAGAATTCATTGTAAAATATCATAGAGCTTTAATCAGAAGGTCAAGGTCAACCCAATCAAGATACAGAGGGAATGCATTCAAATTTGGTGTTTACAAATTTCATCTCTTTTCCGTAGCTTTTTAACTTATATTTTATATATCTGGATATGTTATGAAAATCTCATTTCACATTAAATTATTGATTGATTGATTGATTGATTGATTGATTGATTAATTGATTGAGCAAACGAACGAACGAAAATATGAATAAATAAATGAATAGTTTGGTACTACATAGTAAATAAATATTTTTCCCGCCCTGAAATCTTTTAATGTTATTGTCGGTAACAATTATACTGTTACATTACATTTAAATACCAAGGCTTATTGTCTTTTTTACACTTTAAACATGATATACTAAAGTACTATAGAGTAACAATGAAAGTGACCATGCTTAAAGTTAAGATAAACATTTCTTTTCATATTTAATGCAAGGGTATACATGTGAAATGGCTATATGTTCTGTTTTCCAATTATGTGCTTTAAGTAATGCTTGCAAAAATATTGTGTAACAAAGCATGAGCAAACTTAAAAGTCAACATTTGTATCATTCTATAGAGATTTATTTCTTGTAGGCATTAAAATGAGCGGTGAGTAAAACTTTTTTGTTCTTTTAGGAAAAGAAAGTTTGTCTTTAAACTAGCATTAGGCATTTCCATATAAAATAATTTAAAGAATGTTTAAACATGAATTCAACAAAGGTACACTCTAGTAATACAATGTAATATTAAAATTAGAATTTCAGTTTCTCAGGAGACGCTATATGAATTTTACATGCCAACTTGACATTTTTGTTTGTTTTAGCTTCTGCACGATATCTCGGGGAGAGAGTCAATGTCAGGCCGCACTATGCAAATGATCACTTTCTGCAAGAAGTCGGAGTTGTTTCTGCGTGTAAGTTTGAGGATGGTCATCACCTTGACAACGTGATAGTAGATGAATCTCAACTTATTGAACGCGTTAAACTTTCTTCTAGTGAAATAGAAGAAAAACATATTAGATTAAGTGTTGATTTAAGCGAAGATGTGTTTTATTCAACTGCTGGAGTGTCAGATGACTTTGAAAATGGAAGTCGGGGCGGATCTGCAAACATTGAAGACGAGATAAATCAGAAGGACCCCGAAGATATTGTTTTAACTCTGAATCCAGATACTGACGACACCGCTATGTTTTATGAAACACAAACAGACGAAACAACGTTGATCAGATTCGCAAAATTAGCAGACGACAGCCGAAGTGAAGCAAGTAAATGTAGCGGTAAACTTATACATGATATCATATGCGCTAACGGCCCAGAGACGCAGCTTTTTGTGAGAAATATAGGTGAAGAAGCAGACGGCTTAAGGTCTCCGGTTAATTCCATAAATGACGATGCTGAATCCGAGGAATTAAAGAACCAGCTATCGATGCTTTATAATCACCAGGAAAAGATCAGTAAGGCAGCTGAAGGAGCAAAGAAGCAGATCAAACTATACAAGTCTGAACAAAGTACTCACGTGACAAAACAGACGCCAAACAGAGCAGACAAACACGGTGTTGTAGACGAAGATCCTATAGACAATGACTTCCAGAGACTCATTGTTGAAGTCGTAAAGCATTTGCAAGACTGTGATCTCGATGAAATCCTTTCAATGTTTGCAGGTTTGTTTTCAGTAAAAATCATATCTGTTTATTATGTATTACAGAATGAATTTGCTTGGTGGGAAATATTTGTAGACGTTATTTTATCAGTGTCAAGTATTAATGAATTAGCTGTTTTCACGTTGTGTATTTTCTTTTGGCCAACTTTACATTTGATCTCTTTAGAAAGGCATAATAAAGTATGTATGGCAACACTTCTTTATTCAAAAACAATAATTTTACAATACATCTTTGAAATTAACTTCTCTCTTCTATTATTACAGTACTCAAATTTACTTAACATTTTTTCATTTACGTTTTCATTTATAGTTTATAGATATGGTAATGATAAATTTACCTAACATGACATGATTTAAAAAAATAAGATCCATTCAGGTCATTTTTAACAAAATCATAGTATATCATAGTATCTGGATGTTGTTGATACAGTGTGATTTATCTTAAAGGTTATATTGAATCGAGAAAAAAAGTTCATGAACACATACACAATTCAAAAATTCGGTCAATTTGTATAGATATCGAGGCGAACTTCCGTTGATATGTTATTATTAAACTTTTTTCCAGGCAGTGGTATTCTTGAAATGACTGGTCTGGTTCCACCTCCACAACTTATGGAAATTCTTCAGAAACATCGTCTGGTTAGCCGAGATAACCTTCATCATCTGCAAGAACTCATCATGCGTCTGGATGATACAGATCTGTTTGTTAAAGCAGTACAATACACAAGACATCATCATGATATAGTTTTCTTCTATCAAGACAAGGATGTTCCAAGTTAGTCTAATACAAATGTATACATGTTAACTAGGAAGCAACGTCTGCTTGCCACGCGTTAGTGAAACTAAATTGAATAAACATAGATATTTTAATCTCGACATTCTAACCATATTCACATCAATGGGTGTCACTTCCTTCCTCTGAGTCATTTCAATGTTGCTCTTGTTTTTACGATCTTTCGTTGGATGGGTTGGATAGGGGGTGGTAATCTTTTCTTGCCGCAAACAAATTATCGAGAACATATTTGAAGAATGCAATGAATGACATATAATAATTTTAAATATAATGTACAATGGTTTCATATCTAACTATCTACGCCTACTTTAAAAGTAATAACGTGTGAGTTCTTCTGCTTATCACTTTTATCAATTCATGCTATGTTGTTTTGCTTTTTTGATTTTTTCAGCTAAAGGTTTTGGAAAGATCCAGTGTTTTATAAGTGGGCGGGACTTTACAAGACTGACAAGAGAGGACTTGGAGCTTGTGCGCTTTAAGACAGCCAGCGTGATATTTGTGCCTGCACATTTTGTGTACATAGTCGGGATTGAACCTGGACAGAGGGTTGTAGTTACACTAATGTTACAGGAGAGATATGTTCAAGAAATTTCCGAGATGGCCAAGGAAGGGTTGCCGGAACTTAGTCTTGCTAATGTAGATGCTGTACAAATCTATGGCAAAACGTACAGTACTGTAGGTAAGACTATTTGCTTCTTCTTGAAAACATGGGTTGATGACGATTTATAAACTTTTTAATTGATTAATCCACGTAGAAGAGTACTTTGTTGTAAATATTTTATTCAAGCTGAGAGATTCAGTGTTACTGTTATTTTCTTTTCTTCTTGTATGCTAATGATCTTGTCTAATTTGGCATATGTATACGATTTATTGTATATGCTTAATAAGGGTCCTTTCGACCTTTGAGGCACTGAGAATATGGTCTCCGGACATGTCACTAGTCATGGCCGTAAATAGTACATTGTACATGTATTTAACTATTTATTATCGAAAGTGATGACCTAATCAGTTGTGTCTGTTTTAAATGGTTTCCTCTATGCTTATACTAGTGATAAATGTTTTAAACTTACGTAAATTTTACCATTGCAGGTATCACAATGCTCTTGTTACAGCAAATTGTAAATTGTGTATATATTCTGTAATTGCTAAGTAAGTTAATATGTCCTTTTATTGTTTTTCAGGTACAACTGCGATTGAAAGGTATCGCGACAACGGTCATGCTTCTTTTCTTAGCGTTTATCAACAGCTCCGAGACAAATCCAAACATTTAGAAGAGCGAGATGCAGAAGTTACAAAGCTTAGAGAGGAAGCAGAGATGATGCAATTAGAGCTTGAGACCATGGGAGCAGAACTTCAAATGCTGACAGAAAAGGCAGTGTGGGAATCGGTTGCTAGGCACCACATCCGCCATAGACCGGCGAATAAACATTCTAGAACCCGATCATTACCGTTAAGTAACAGAGAAGAACCGAGTGACAAACAATTCACTCGGGCTTTGGAATCGGCAGTAATTGCAAAGGCGAAACCATGCTTTGCTTTTGACATGGCCAAGAGTAACAGCAAAATGGACAAAATGGCTCTTAGTAACCAAGGTCAAGGTATGTCAACAGTTGTGAAAAGGTCAAGCATAAAGACACAAGAAACATTTCAACAGACAAATGATCTCATGAGCGAAATTGAATGTATTTTAAATGAACTAAATTCAGCCAATGCCGAGTTGCTATAGTATCAATATTCATTAAAGCGAGGTCTACGAGAGAATGTTATTTTTGATGTTTGTAATGAAAACAATCTAAAAAAAAATTTCGGAAAATGTCACTTCAAGCTTAATCTCATATCGGGAAAAGGATCTCATTCCGTGAAATGTGGTTCATTTATAATACTGGTAGTGACTTGGACTCGGTCACTTTTTTGTTTTGTTATTCAACGTTTAAACTCTTAGAAAGAAAAACAATTTAAATACAATTTTTACTTTTTAGAATTGTTCACGTTGCAATGATGTTCGTCTTTGATCACGGGCTATCATGTTCTTGATTTGATTAATTTACACATTATATATAACCTCAGAAATGTCATTTTGTTACGATTTCTGGAATTGTCAAATGGTTATGTCTACATGCTAACATAAGAGTATCTGAACTTCAGTTAGATTTACCACGGACTTTAACTGCCATCTACCTTCAATTCAAATTCCGAGTTTCCAGCTTGGTCGCAGCCAATTCTGGATAATATTTAGCTAAGCAAGCAGGCACTGTGAACTCACTATTATAAAGTGTTCCGTTTTCCACTTTTTGCACATGATCCATGTCTCATTCTGATATATCACATATTTTTGCATGGAAAGCACTAGGTATATTGCATGTATATACTTTTGTCTGCAATTTTATCTTTGCCAACATGTACTCATATTTTATTAATTGTGTTCTTGTACCCTTCTAGTAGGGAAAAATAAATATTAAAAATACATGTACACTTGATTAATTTTAAAGCCTTAATTGTAATGAATGATGTGAGTCATATATACAAAAGTAAAGTATATGTAACTGATAAAAACAGAGCACATTTCACTCTTTAAATAGATTTGGCGCTACAAGATAAGCCGGTTACAATTCATTCCAACTCGTGAATTTATTTTTACTCTTTACAATGAATTAATATCAATGCTTATATCCGCCAGTTTTTTTAACAGCAAATTATAAAGTTCGTTTTTCGAGAGAGAAAAAAATAGTTTGTTCAGTTATGAACAAAGTGTTCTGACCTGCTATGTACAATAAAAAGAAAAGCAATGCAATATTTAATATGAAAATATCATTGTTTGAAGAAAAAAGCGTGAGTTTTACTGGCACAACATTATTCATGCATTATACAGCACTCACTTCCTGTTAATAAAGGGCAACTTGACGTCGGTATGATCTTTTTACCAGTCTTTTAATAAGACATTCATACATTTACATGCGCAAATGGCAATACTGAAATAGAAATCTGTCTTTCAATTACCATATAAATTATTTAGATAATCGTATTTAAATCTGGGATATAAAGTGTCAAAAATGAATTATGAAATTTATATAATGGGATGCTGGCTGAATGCAAATTTGTCCCAAAGTCTTAAAGGATGATATTTGTAACATAAAGCATCTATAAGAAGCCGACTTCACAGATAGCACCATTAATTGACCATACAAATGAGCCAGCCCATTGTACGGGAAGCATTTGCAACCTGTATAACGCCTGCATGTGCAAATAACGCAGAAATTGTGCAAAATGAACGCTAAAATCTATAGTCTCTTCACATTGCGTCCCGAAGAAGCGAAATTACGACAAAGTTGTTACTTTGTCGTGTTTTCATGTTTTCGTCTGGCGCTGCGTTTTCATATATAAATATTCTCATGCCTCAATCAGGGTCTTTCAAATAGAAAGACCCTGCCTCTATTTGAAAGACCCTGCCTCAATACAGGGAATTTCGTAACAAAAAAATACTTTTCTGCAACGTTACAAAATCTACAGACATTAAAAAGGTTAAATTCAATGTTATCTTCATTTAATTCCGTCAGTTATTGAAAGAAAATTTTGGATGGTTCTCCAGGTGTTTGGGCGAAATTTTGCTCCTTCTATAAGTTAATAATAAAAAAATATCAAAGAACATAAATTATATAAATGAAACGATGGCGAATTTTTTATTAGTTAATAATAGACAATCAAAAGAACATAAATCATGTAATTGAAAAGATGAAGAAATTATTATCCCCATGAACAATACATGTAATTTCCTTAAAAGAAAATATGTGTATAAATATTGTAACTAAAGCTATAGAGCTAAGCTGACAACTGTTAAAACATAGCGCTGAAATTATTCCTTACTTCGGAAAAAGTGCTATTGGTGTCGTATTAATAAATAAAAATCTGTTTCAACTAAAATAACTAAAGCAAACTGTATGGAAGTTTAAACATATGTTTATGGTTAAAGATACGTAAACTTATATAAATCAAAGGGCTGCAGTGCTCTGTGGTATTTTCTGATCTTTCCTGTATAAGTTTATTTTTGTACTGTATACTAGTATACTATAATTCATCGTACGCAGAGACTGCGTTTAGATTTTTTTTCTATAACAGTTTGAGATTGATACATATGGAATTTTGCATGCCTAGATTTGCATCAAAAAATCATTTTTCATTTTTTTATGACAGCCAAACTTTATCCTTGTATATCGTGGCTACTTCCTTAAAAAAGACATTTAAAAAAAAATGTTGCCTCTCACACCCTAAACGAGCGCGCTACCTCTGCACCACGGTGAAGTAATACGTATGTAGCTTGAATAAATGCAAATACATTGTAATTCTAAAATTGAGAATTTCCATTTCGTGTTTGTAATCCTTATTAATTTCGAGGTATTTTGTTCACGATAAACCTGTTGTTAAACACTGATGAAAATAATTTAGCGAAAATCTTCTCGCCAAAACAGTCCGACATGTATATATTCCACTACTCGACAGTCAGATTTATTTGTGTACTACGCTCTGGAGTATTCGGTAATCGACATAGCTAAAAATAGCATTTTCATTGATTAAGCTTTACGGAAATAGTCGAACATTTTTCATTTGGGTAAAATAGATATTCATCCGCGAAATTTGTGATTGTAACCTCATATTTCTATTGACTAATCTAAACTTTAAATGTACTGTAATTCGTTAATTGCCTACATTAAAAATTATTCTTTCTTTTAAATTGCTGGTTTTTAAGCAGTTTTGAGTGAGAACTACTTTGCGTTGTTAGGTATGTGAGGAAATTTTGTGTTAGACCGTGGATGTTAGCTTTGTATTTACTGATCTTGCGATCAGAAAATACAAAAAACAGTGTTATTGGTCCGTATAGATAACTATCAACTAAAAAATAATACAAAACTGACTAAGAATATATCACACAAAACGGACTAAGAATTACGCAAAACTGACTTAGAAATGACGCAAAATATCTGAACTAGGTTTACCACGGTCGAGTATAATTGTTAAAGATTCTTCTTGTTGTAAGGGTGATAGAAGCACTGAGGTTAACACAAGTAACCTCATCTGCTTCCTTTCATATTATATTACGAGTTTATGACGCAAGTAATTCGGTATGTACCGAAAATTCAGGTTTCGAAACTGAATATGTTCATATCTTTAAAGGGACTCCACTGAGGTTTTTGACATGACGGGATTGGAAATAAATTTTCAAGATTGATATTCTATTTGATGTAGATCTAGGCAAATAACTTATATGCAAAATTTCAGATCATGCGCTCGCTCCGTTTTCCCAGAATGATTACTCTCCTAGTGAAAAATGTCCCAAAATTGAAAAGCGTTGCAACGCTTTTGACTCATATCGGGCTAAGAATAGCACAAATATAGTATTTCTGGGTATGTTTCTTAATTATCTTTGCATATCTTTCATATTAAAATTCATCAGTTTATCTATGTAAGAAATTTAAAATTTGTATTATTATGTTTTTGGACCTCAGTGGAGTTCCTTTAAATACACTTGTAACTAATTTACTATACCTGCATTATTCAAATGTAATACAAACTGAACAATAAAAGCTACAATGTTACGCACGATGTTTCTGTTGTTTTTTCTTTCTTTCTTTTTTTGTGCAACAACAGAAACTTTTTGTCGCTACAGAATTGAAAAATAATAATGATAATATTATTATGTAGTCGTTGACGTCATTGATTTAAAAAGACGTATTTATCATTCCGTTGACGTCATTTATCGAAAAAGACGTATTTATTTTATTTCATGGGGGGGGGGGGGGTACGTCGCACAAACACAGATCATATAGCGACTTTTCTGTCTTACTGATGGAGGAAGACCTCAAGAGCCGGAGTAGAACCACCGCCGTTCCGTCAGCTAGCTGGATAGCTTCCTCGCATGAAAAATTCCAAAGCCCCTATCGAGAATCGAATCCACAGTGGTGACGGGCAAGTGGTTTGAACTCAAACGACTCTACTCTTAGAACAATATGCATCTGTGACTGATCGACGTTAGTTATTATGTTGCATTTGATAAATTAAGCTGTCGGTAGCTTTGAATTTTGTAGTTTGATATTGAAAACCCAAATTCAAAGCAGGGCAAAATCCATTACACAGATTTCAAAAAGCCAATGGTCGTGGAACAAGGCCAATTGAAAATGTTACAGTGAGTCTGCTCGTAGACCTACCGTCTTCAGTCCCTTACACCGGCTTAAGCAGAATTATGCATTCAACCATGAGGTAGGTATATAAGGTATGTAGGTAGGTAGAAATTTTGTCAGGGGGCCTCCGTGGCTGAGTGGTTAAGGTCGTTGACTTGAGATCACAGGTCCCTCACCGCTGTAGGTTCGATCCTCACTCGGGTCGAAATCTTTCATGTGAGGAAGCCATCCAGCTGGCTTACGGAAGGTCGGTGGTTCTACCCAGGTGCCCGCTCGTGCCTGAAATAATGCCCGAAGGGGCACTTGGGGTCTTCCACCAATAAAGCTGGAAAAAATCGACGAAAAAATCTCGGCGGGACGCTCTAGGATGGCCCGACTTGAGTGTACGGTCGCCCATATGGGCTTTCCGGCGGCGACCTTAAAAAGAAAGAAAACGATCTTTTTTCTCGGAGTATCAATCTGTGTTAGCAATTTGGTTTGCGTTGTTTATACTCTGCTACCATATAACTTTAACAATCTAAATAAATAAAAGAAATGAATCTAAAGAAAAACTCACACTCAAAAATAAAAACTTTAAAAAGTAGAACCGGATTAGGGCACATACGCGAATGTGTACGCCTGGGCACGCGAGCGTTATGTAACAGTTATATACGATAGGGATATATAACATATGGCATTAATCGACGATAACAATGTCATGTTCCTGTTGCTAATAACAAATGGGACCCCGCGGCGACCAATCAGTCCGATACTTTACCCGAGATCAAATGAGAAGGGACAGAGAAGCCAGGTTTAGTTGAATGCAAAGTTCTACAAATTATCTAAGTGATTAAGATTCATATGTGTCTTGGGGGATTTACGATTTGTAGAATATATCTTTCTTTAAAATGCATTTGTTTAAAATCTCAGAAATCATAATATGTTATAAGTATAATTATAATTATCCGATAATATAAACCGAATATGATAGTTATGACCCGAGCTTATTGTAACGTGAAGAGGGTCCAACCACCCAAGTTGCTTTTGTTATCTATTACGAGATCTATACGAGTCTTCTCCCTTCCCCCCTCAGTGCATGCACGTCAGGGCATCGGTAGATGATACTACCCTTTTATCACTTGAGAGTTTATCTTCGATTCAGTTGCCGACAACGAGTAAGGGTATTAGAATGCGTGGTCTCCTAATACGAAGAGACGGCTTGAACCGCAGCGCCCATGGCTTGTATATACAAACAGTCCTGCTCAGGGCTAACCTCCTTCATTATTGTCACTGGTTACTGTCGGAAAGCAGGTAACTGCATGTACAGCGGCCGTACAGTAACCTGAGTGCGCTTTTTCGCCGTCCCCGCCACTTCTTTAGGGTCACATCCCTCGGATTCAGTCAGGACATTGTTAACTGCTCACTTGGAAGAGCGTGAGGCTGATCAGGATCCATGTTGTTCGCTATCAGTTTCTCTACTTGTAATAGAGTTGGTAAGCGAACAGCATGGATCCGGATCAGACGGCGCGGATGCGCCAGCTGGTCTGGATCCATGCTAGTCGCAAACGCATTATGTTGGTTTTGTCATGGCGCGGCTCAATTATAAAGCTGATGCTGCACCGAGTTTAATATCATTATTTGAACGCAGAAAATTTGCATAGCATACTTTTTCTGATATTAATTTTTCATTCCGGCTAAAGGCCGGTCTAACATCAGTTTGGCTTCGGAAGAACTGAATATAAGGTCATAATGAAATCTGGGAATCCCATATTCTAAAAGAAAATGTAAAAGGTAGTTCTAACTTGCCATTCTATGATAGTTATAAAATAAAATGTAAAGGATAGTTCTAAAATAAAATGTATAGAATAATTCTTTCTGTTTAATCTCATTACATTTTCTAGTGAACAGTTTATTTTACATAAAAACTTACATAGTTTATTTTAGACAATACCCACGGATTTATATTACGAATGTAATGTAAATCCGTGACAATACCTGAGTTTTAAATTTAAATAACAAGAATAATATCAGAACTTATCAGGTACCCTAAGCTTATGGTGTCTAATGCATTATATGGTTTTTGATTTGTTCAATTAATATAATGTTTATAATTTTCATATATTTTGCACATAAATCAAATATTTAAAAAAATTGCCTACCAACTGCGTAGATCGTTGATTTTATAGAAATTGATTTCACTTACCGAAACACGACAAGTTCGTTTAGAAACACATACATGTACATCTTAAAGTGTTCCATTTTTCAAGATTAATAACTCTACAAGAAATTATTATATCATTGTTATGCAAGCCATGCTAACATTTCTATATGACTGCATGGAAAATTAAGAACTAACATATGCAAGTTAACAAGATATACCTCGCCATAATATCTTTTTTCAAAGATACTTCTTGTTTTTACTTTGCATTTCCCTTTAAATTTCATGTATACCGAAGTATATAATATTGAGCCGCGTCACGACAAAACCAACATAATGGGTTTGCGACCAGCATGAATCCAGACCACCCGGCGCATCCGCGCAGTCTGATCAGGATCCATGCTGTTCGCTATCAGTTTCTCTACTTGTTATAGAGTTTGTAAGCGAACAGCATGGATCCTGATCAGACTGTGCGGATGCGCAGGCTGGTCTAGATCCATGCTGGTCGCAAACCCATTATGTTGGTTTTGTCATGGCGCGGCTCATATATGTAATGGTCGTTCCAGAGTCGCCCGCACAACTTGCCCCTCAACAACGTGCACGAAGGAGATGTGTCCCGATAAGCTACTTTCTCTCGTATATCCCGCCAGCAACTTGTATAATGAATTTATAAAATAATTAATTAATACAAATTCTTTTTGACGAGTTCAAACAAGTGATGGTTAAAAACTTAAGATACAGTATAAGTTGATATCTGGTGATTTTACTATCATACTTTCAACCTTTTCTTCACTGAATCACTCTTGCTTATAAACATTTCTACCATTCCTGACCCCCCCCCCCCCCCCCCCACACACACACACTATCCTGATAACGTACAAATATATTATTTATACCATTGGCTGATTGAATACGATGTGTTATTCACTGGCAGATTGTCATATTATACATATATATGAATAGACTGAGATTTAAACAGTGTAAAAAAAATTTCTATGCCTTATAATTACCAGAAAAAAAAATAAACAAATAAAAAATAGAAAAAATAGAAAAAAGATAGAAAGAAAGAAAATACCCACTACATTTAAAACATTTAACTCTACATTCACTAGTTGAAATTAGTTTTCAGCAAAGGTTGACTGGCGCATGTGCAATAAGAGATACGCATAATTGCAATGGAACTATTTTAGTCAGTAACGTGTTATATACATCAGGGTTGTTCTAGTAGTTTGAATAAATTAAAGAACAAAACGCAACAATTATGTTTATACATGTGCACGCGGTGTGTCGCATATTTAACAATCTACAATGCGGAAAAGCATGTTAAATACCGCGCGTAGCTCTAACCCAATCAAAATTCGAGAAATTTATTTTGCATAATAGTTATAAATCTTAATTTAAATGTTCCTGTTATATAAACTGGGAAGACTTAAAGATATGCAATGAGGTACTTGTTATCGATTTTCTTTTTATAAAGATAACACTTCTTGACAGTAAGAGTTAAATGTAGGAAGTTAGAATGAAGTAGTGTTATGCTAAACGTCACTCAAATTGTAGGGAAGTGAACTCTTCCGACTACATTTATCTCCAGCATAATCTTAGAAGAGTAGTTCCCCTTGGAAATATGATGAGGGCGCTACTTGCTTTCCCACAATGCCCATATTTAGCACAGAGTGACAGTTGCTGCTGCTGAGGTAGTTGATGGTTATACACTATCAATGAAAGAGTGTTAATGTGTCACCATGGTTTGAAATATAGCAAAAATAGTAGTTTTAAAACTAAAGGTGGTTTAGTGTGCAGTTAATTATTCAATTCGTATGGAGAATCGGGAAAAACGATAAATGTAGCGTCTCTCTCTGCAGCAGAAACGACATCAGTTTTCGCAGAAACGACAACCGTGAAAGTGTAAATAAATTTCGTGTTATTTCCATTTCATTAACAGTTATTGGAGGTATGGATAATTTTGCGATATTAGTTTATTACAGGTCTAACAATGTTTTACCTGGTCTTCAATAGGACACTTAAACCTTTCATTAACAAAAAATATCAATAAGTATAAATAGGAGAGGATAAAAAGAGTTGAGATATTCTATACATTGTCACAGCTTAAGTTAATATTTAGCTATTGGATTATGATAGAGATATACAGATAGACTAGTAGTTGACTTACTTGTAGATTTAATTATTGTACAAAACATTTTACACTTACTACTGAATTAAGCTGAAAACATGGCTGGATATATTAGAATTTCAGTTTTGCTAGTGATAGGAATAACTATAGCAGGACAGTTGGGGACTGTTGAGTCTGCTCAGGCCAGTAACAAAACATGTACGCGAGACTCTGAAGAATGCAGGAAAGGCATGATTATTCCAATGTGGGAGCCAGTTGGGGATTTAAGCCCAGGTGATAAGGCAGCCCGTGCAATAGTTTACATGGCAGCAATGATATACATGTTTCTTGGCGTGTCTATTGTCGCAGATAGATTCATGGCCTCTATAGAAGTTATTACATCAAAAGAAAAAGATGTAACTGTGAAAAGAGCTGACGGCAGCACGCAGGTTGTAAGTGTTAGAATATGGAATGAAACTGTTTCAAACTTGACTTTGATGGCTCTTGGTTCTTCTGCACCAGAAATTTTATTGTCTGTTATTGAAATTGTTTTCATGAATAACTTTAAAGCTGGTGACCTAGGTCCAAGTACCATTGTTGGCAGTGCAGCATTCAACCTTTTTATCATCATGGCTTTATGTGTGTCCTGCCTCCCTGGTGAAGAGGTTCGAAGGGTGAAGCATTTGCGTGTCTTCACACTTACTGCCACCTGGAGTATTTTTGCATATTTATGGCTGTACTTTATTCTTTCTGTAACAAGTTATGGTGTTGTCGATATATGGGAAGCTGTTGTAACCTTTCTTTTCTTTCCTGTAACTGTATTTACAGCATATGTTGCAGATAAACAAATTTTTGTTTACAAATTTTTGTCAAAGAAATACCGATCAAGCAAGCAACGTGGTGTTGTAATATCAAGTGAAGGTGATACAGAACTAGGTAAAGCAAATCATGTTGGTGATGATGTTGTATTTAAAGGTATGGAAAGTCAGGACAGTGATGTTAGAGAATTTGAAAATCATCGTAAAGAATTCATGGAAATTCTGCGTGACCTTAGAAAGAAAAATCCAAATACAGATATGAAAACCTTGGAGGAAATGGCAGAACTTGAAGCTATTAACCGTGGGCCAAAGAGCAGAGCTTTTTATCGTATTCAGGCTACCAGAAAACTAACTGGCAGTGGCAATGTTATCAAAAAGTCCAAAATAGAGAAGAAAGCAAGTCTAGAAGATGTGAGAGTAGATTTTGAAGATGAAAGCATTACAAGAGTATTTTTTGACCCTGGGCATTACACTGTTATGGAAAATGTTGGTACTTTCAATTTGACGGTATCGAGAACCGGAGGTGACTTATCAAAAACACTCTACGTTGACTACAAAACTGAGGATGGCACTGCTAATGCAGGTTCAGACTATGAATACACTGAAGGCACTCTAATTTTCTACCCAAATGAGTTGCACAAGCAATTTCCACTTACTGTTATTGATGACGATCTATTTGAAGAAGATGAGCATTTGTATGTCCGTTTGAGCAATCTTCGAGTTGGTGATTCTGATGGCACGCATGACAACTCTGATGTCAAGCTTGGTACCCCATTCCTCGCAACAGTCATGATTTTAGATGATGATCATCCGGGTATCTTCCATTTTGAAGACAAGGAGCTACGAATATCTGAAGCTATTGGTGAAGTGGACATTAAAGTTATGCGTTCGTCAGGTGCACGTGGCACAGTGAAAGTACCCTACTTTACAAAAGACGGATCGGCAAAAGGTGGCAAGGACTATGAACCTGTTCAGAGTGAACTTATCTTCTCAAATGATGAAACTGAGTAAGTAAATTGGTCTTTTTTTCTTTATATTCAATATGCCATATTATTTAAATATTTATAATTGTTATGCTTTTTTTTAAATTTTCTACTGTACCAGAATTTACATCGGAATTATCACACAGTTCAAATTATGGTTTAAAAGAGTTAAAGTACCTAAGCAGCCAAGCACGGTGAAAACAGTAACATTTTCTAATGGTTAATGTTTTAATTTTACAGACAACAAGCATTTTAAATAATGTGCATATAAAATGAATAAATTAATTATAAAAACAATCTCTTGGGTTGAGCTGTTAATTTTGACAGGAAAACTAAATTCAAGTGTGTATGTTTACACTGTCATGCCTATCTCATTTTCAGTGATACAGTTGTATTGATTTATGAAACTTTGTTGCCTCTTGACATTTTACTTTTAACAACTTGAAACATGAAGAGTTTAACAAGTACATAATTATCATTGTTTTAGTTAGTATTCTCAAAAGTGGCTAGATGCTAAAGTTAATTATGTGAAGTTCAAAATGAGTTTGCTTTATTAAATTGGACAATATTGACAGGGAAAATAGACTGTGGAACCAAATTTGGTTTGATTACTGTATAGAAATTTCCAATTCATATCACCGATTTATCAATAATAAGACTTGTCAATTACTCGTCAGAATTTATTTAGCAATCATAGCCGTAGTCAGCAATATTACAGTTATGTGTGTACAGTTGGGGAAACATCGGTATTGATTTGATTCAACAGATACTCTCGGCTACTGGCAAGTTCAATAAAGTAGATTGAACTTTTAGTTCAGGATGCTATAGTCTTTTCTTATGTTATATGAATATGAAGAGATCATGTATTGATGCACACATTCTGTGTCGAGATTCTGGCTTTAAGGCATTCCGTAACATAATAGAAATATATTGAGAATATATCAAAACAACAGCCTGTTGTAATTTGTTCTGTAAACCTATTGAGTTACTACAATATTGTGTTACGCCCATAATCTATATATATTGATTGATAACGCTTATGTTTGTAATATAGTGGAGAAAAGATAGAAGTTGAGGTTCCGGACGAAATCTATTTTTACTGTAGAATAATAGGTTCAGATTTCTTTTTTTTCAAAACCCGTTCTGATAATAAACCTATTACTTATTAATTAGAATGACACAGAATTTAAAGTTACTGAAACTGGTTTTGAAACCTGACTTATAAATAATTTATATACCTATAGCAAGTATTGTGTGAAAATTGAAATGCTTTTCTATGATGCTATCTTTATAGTTGGGTTAAAATGTTGAATAAAAAAATATACATTTCTTTAAAGGACTAATAGATGCCAATATTTTCAAGTTGCTTTCCCAGTTGTTATATTAATTGTATTATGCGAGTTAACCTTTTCAAGAGTCCACCAGTGTCAACTAAGACCACTTTTTCATTCTACAAATGTAATTGGGGATGTATATATATAGTTATATACAAGTTTAACTTTTAGGATTGAACATTTATACCAGGTGTGGGCCTCCGTGGCAGAGTGATTTAGTTACAAACACATCCATTAACTGATATATTTTTTATTCTTTCATAAAGTTTTAAAACGCATCTGTTATTTTCCATGGCATTATGAAATTCCTTGCTTATGTCAAAGTTATCATGAAACATTTGTTGCAAATTAAATTGATTTTTATTGACAGTATGACTATTTAGTGTTAATTGCTCAATTATCATATCTGCAGATTTAGTTTAATTCATTGAATTTGGTAAAATTGTAAAAGAAAAAATAGCATCATTATACATTGTATTAGGAATTTTTAATGTTTGGAGTGTATGTTTTTTCTTCTTTCAAAAAGGAAAATCAGATCATCTCCAATTGCTAGAAGGTTTTTTTTCTAAATGGTGTTAAAATTCACAATTTACCCATTGCAATGTGCTGACATCTAACGTCATTAACTTATTAAGTGATCTTGGCATTAATTGTTACTTTATCAATATCTTTTGAATATTACATACATTTAGCAGTTGATAATTTTAGCACAAATGGCAAGAATGTCACACCTATGCCACAAGTGTAGAGAATAAAATTATAAATATAATTACAGTGGAATGTCAAAATTTTATATAGTTTTAATAAGATTGAAAAGCTTAAAATTATCAACAGTTGACAAACCATAACTCCATTCAGGACAAATTTTGTATGATACTGTCCTAGGATGATAACTTGAGCCTTTGTTTACATAACAAAGACCAATAACAATGCGAAAAATAGGTTAGGCAGATCAATGCCAAAACCTATAAAATTGAAAATAAAACTACATGTTATCATATGTCTTGTTAGCGCAGTAGGTAGAGCAACCGTGTCAGTAATGTGTTTTACCCGTACATGCAGAAGTTCGACTACTGGTAAGACACAATTTGTTTTTACCTCAGAACAGTCAATTGTTCAGATAACAAGTTTGACCGGTTTTTTCATATATAAAATAAAATATATATTATAAGAAGAAAACAAAAAGGAAAACGAAAAATAAATAAATAATAATGATAAAAAAACAGAGTAAGAAGAAAAAACTGTGGTTATAAAATGGCACTAAGTAGGGTTCGAACCTATGAGTACAAAACACTAAAAGTTACAATTTCTTCGATCTACCGGCAAAGCCATAACGGTAATACACAAACGATTCTGTAAGAATAATGCTATATAGTATATGTAAGTGTTCACGATATCGGATAATAATCCAGATAACCCCGTTTTTGGACTTTCCCATGTACCGTTAAGACCAAATTATCATCCTAGGACAGTAAATACAAACCTGATAAATACAAATACAAAATCAGCTGCAGAGCAACAGATAAGGTGCGTATTTGCGTATTTACGCAATTAATTTTATAAAATACGCAATTGATTTTTTAAGAATGCGTATCAAAACCCATTAAAAAAAATAAAATACGCAATTGTCTTAACAACCCGTGCGTATTGTGATTTTTATCACCGCAAAATTAATCTGTCGTACACTCCACGGATTTAAATTACAATTAAAGTCCGTGTACACTCGTAGTTTTGGACAAATTATATCGATATGCATGATATCCGAATATTCCCGAATCAATGCTAACTAATCAACGGTCTCCGGTCTTCGACGGTCCCCGGTCTCCAAAGACATACTAAGCATGAGACTGTCGATTTGTCTACTCAGGTTGACGGTCTTTACAGACCGGCAGAGACCGTTGATTTTGCGGATACCGTCAATAAGTAGGTCCCAGCTGTATCAATAGACGCTTTGAAAAGCAATATGGCGTCGTACAAAGTGAAAATGATTTGAAACAAAACAGTCGCAAATAATCAAAAATCAGACAGAAAATGAACTTGTTAAAAATATTATGAAATTTAACATGAGCATTTTATATAAAAATAAAACAATTGTGAAAAGTTCTAGTAAATTGTTAATCCTATTTTCTTTTTAAAACAGTAAAGATATCTAAATTTAATTTTATTGATATTGAAACCATAAAATTCATATCTTCATAATTGAATACCCAATTGATCTTGAAATCATAGGGTATCGAGTTTTAGAATACCCAATTAAATGAAGCCAATACCCAATTCCAAAGGAAATGATGGAGTAATACCCAATTCACTTTTAAAGCTTATCTGTTGCTCTGAGCTGTACAGGCTTGAAATAGATACATGTAACATGTAATAATATCTAACAACGTTACACGGTTACAAACAGATTTATTAGCAAGTCTGACTGATGGAATTGTAACATATGTTTTCCATTTTCCATCCAATATTGTAACGCAGGTATTTAGTTTACCTATAGGCCTTCCAAATAATCAGCTAGGTATATATCATATATATATATTATATTTATATATACATTATCATTGTAACGCAGCTTGTGAAAATTACTGCTATATCTATTTCATGAATTTCAAATTGATTGTATTATCAGTTTCTGGAAACAGCTACCTGGCCATAAGTATTGTACTAAGTATGTGATGGAATTTATGTAGAGAACAAATTCTCTAGCACACATTTAAATCATTATAAAGAGTATTTGGTGTAATGACAGCGAATGTGGGTGTTGAAGCCCAGCCCACCCTCCCCTCTCCAGGACATGTTTACCTAAACATATAATTTTGCTAATGGCATTTTTCCAAAAGCTGCTTGAGTACTGCTGCTTATTGATTCAAGTCATTGCTTGCTTTTGATTTATTATGTGGGGAAGTTGGTATAAATTTGTGGAGAACAGTCGTTACAGTGTACAAACTGGCAGCTTTAAATATAAGACAATAGGTTTACATCAACTTTGTCTCTATATCTTTGGAAATTGCTTGAAATACAAGGTTTATGTCTATTCAGCAGAAAACAATTGATATGAAATAAATACACCATATTCAGGATGATGAAAACTATTCAATAACACAGATTCTGTGGTTCAAACCTATAAAGTTTCTAAACTCGAAGCTTCTTTATAAAATTATTTTCCAGATATTTCCAGATTGAATCATTGATTCATCAGTTGCTAGGTGATTTAATAGATTACACTTTTTGTGAACTATCTTGTACAGTGTATTTGTTGACTTAGTACTTTAAAATTGTTGTTGTGATAAAACAGTAAGCTCCAATTTAAACCTTTCGTTATTTTTAATTTGGAAGTGTTGACTTACCTGTAAATCCAGGGACGTTTTAGATTAATCATTTATAGTAGAATTTTTTAATATAACTTTAGTCAATAAGTCTGGTGACAGTTTTTCATTTGGAACAGTTACTTATTAAATGTTGTTCACAGGTACAATAGTGTTGATCATAGTGTTTTCTGCACTTCTTAGTATATGTTAAAGTTTATTAGTATGTTTTTACAAAATTAAATTGGTCTGGCGCGATGACTGTTAATCATGTAATAGAATCATCATTACATAGCATGTAGGGCTGGCAAAATTTAATTTTGACTCACTGGTCTTTGTATCTGAAGCATTTCTTACCTTGTCCATATGATATTTATATAGTAAATTC